CTGCACGTGGGGAGGAATAACCCCATGCAGCAGTACAGGCTGGGGGTTGACCTGCTGGAAAGTAGCTCTGCAGAGAAGGACGTGGGAGTGCTGGTGGACAACAAGTTAAGCATGAGGCAGCCATGTGCCCTTGTGGCCAAGAAGGCCCGTGGTCTCCTGGGGTGCATTAGGCTGAGAGTTGTCAGCAGGTGGAGGGAGGTGATCCTGCCCCTCTCCTCAGCCCTGGTGAGGCCTCACCTGGAGTACTGTGTCCAGTTCTGGGCTCCCCAGTACAAGAGAGACACGGCGCTACTGGAGAGAGTGCAGCAGAGGGCTACCAAGATGATGAAGGGACTGGAGCATCTGTCCTACGAGGAAAGGCTGAGAGAACTGGGCCTGTTGAGCCTGGAGAAGAGAAGGCTGAGAGGGGATCTGATCAATGTGTACAAGCATCTGAAGGGGGGCAGACTTTTCTCTGCGGTGCCCAGCAAGAGGACGAGAGGCGGTGGGCACAACCTGAAACACAGGAAGTTCTGTATGAACGTGAGGAACAACTTCTTTCCTGTGAGGCTGAACAAGTTGCCCGGAGAGGCTGTGGAGTCTCCTTCTCTGGAGATATTCAAAACCCACCTGGATGTGATCCTGGGCAACGTGCTCTCAGTGACCCTGCTTGAGTAGGGAGGTTGGTCTAGATGATCTTTAAAGGTCCCTTCCAACCTCAACCATTCTGTGATTCTGTGATGTAAGCTAGAGGCTAGATCCAAAGCCTTGCATTTAATGTCATTCATGAGCTTGTCTCATTCCTTTTGAACTGTGTCAACATACTGCACTTGCAGCTTCCAAAAAAGCCTGGGGCAAGGATTTCCACAGCTGAACTATTTATCTGTGTGTTTTAAGCTTGACTAGGAGCTTTCATTGTGTGGCTTTATTTCATAGTTAATAAAAAGGAATATAGTGAAGCCTTTACAAACATCTTTTTTTAGAGGATTCTGTCTCATGCGACTGGCTCGGAAAATCCTGGGCAGGATCCTTGCTCTCTATTGTTAGATTTATACAGGAGTAATTAAACTCAGCATAAAACTTGAGGGGTTACATGTAAGGAGAAGCACATCTGCATTGTCCTTCTTGGGCTGTCAGAAGCTACATTTGTTGATCGCTGGGATATTCCTACAAGCCTCAGCTTTATATTTTATGTATTTATGGTCAGACCTTTTGATCTTCAGGTTGCCTGTTGTTTAAAATATGAGAATTTAGATGATTAAATTTGTTAGTTATTTTTGATTCATTCCAAATGAAATTAGGGTGCACACTGTCCCATTAGTACCATTCTACTTCAACTTTATTTAGAGATTTCTGTGTTCAGTTATTTTCTGTCTTTTGTAATGTATTGTTGCATGTCAGTAACTGGACATATTCTTTGGAAGCTCAGTTCAGATAAATAATTAAATATTTTTATGCATTTAACTTTGTAAATTGTCCTAAATACTTAAAATTACAGTTTGGCTAAGGTGCTTTACTAAATCATAGCTAAAATTGCTAAAAGGTTACTTTTATACCATCAACCTAATCCCTCTAAACTTAAATCATCACAATAATATATTTTTTTTCCTGAAAAATCCTTTTAATAATATTTTAACTAAAAGCTAATGTCATTGTGTTTATCAGATCATAAAATAACTTTAATTTTCTAATTTTTGTAAAATATGTTGTCTTTTTTTACACTCAGACTCCTTAATGAAAGCTTTTGTCAGCATATAACTCTCAGCAGTTATTGAGCTCTTTTCTGTTTTTTGATTTTCTTTGCCGATAGCAAGGGTTAACAAAGAAGGCCACACACGGGACGTGGCTGACCATTAAAAGATCAGGATACTCTGCAGAAAATGTTCTGTCAGCAGTTTCGTTTGCTTTTTGGCAAGTTCTGCAGGCAGTTGTGCTGATGATTGCAGTGTTTTCTCCTGATTTTTTTTTTAATACACTGGCTTCTTGCCTGTAATATTTTTATACAGTAGATGCCATTTTCCCAATATTTCTCTGATTCTTAATACTTTCTAGCCTTTTAAACATTTAATTCCAAATGAATCAACTTGCAAGTCAGATGTCTATGTGTAAACATAGTCTGTAGCTATAAACATAATTAAAATAAAAGCAAATAGCTTCTAACTACTAGAAATAGTTTCTTGCTCCAGATGTCCACCTATGAATTCTAGAAATAACCGCGTAAATACATGGTTAGAAATCATTATAATCGTTTGGATTTTCAGATGGCAACTCATACAACTTCTGCTGTGCTCCACACCTTACTTCCTAGGTTTACAGAGCCTGTGAGCATATTGCTAAGAATGGCTGTTAAATGCCAAAACATTTTGTAATCATGTAACAGAAATGAACAATCGCAAATCTATCCCGTTTGACTAAGAACACCAAGTCCCCATGACTACTATGTTCAAGCTGACGGTATCAAGAACTTAAAATATGATTATAACATTGGAGAAAGTCAGTTCTGAATTAGTGCACAACTTCTGTCATGGGAAGAGTGTACAGACTGCTGTTCAGTTTGTGCCTGGCATCTTAGTGGTGGAGCATCTTTCCAGCAGTATTCTTAGTCATTTAACTGACATTTGTCACATTTTATTTCAGTTCTTTCAGTTTTTTAAGAAGAAAAAGTGACTATCTTGTTTTAGTGGAGTCTTTTGTGCGTACATATTTTTGCTGTATGGGTCCCGTAAGGTAGTGGAAGCCAAAAGAAAAAGAAAAACTTGTAATAAATTAAAATGCATGGAAGGCCAGGTTCTTGAATATGTTTTTCTGTGAAGGCTTTTCAGAGCAGGGTTGCACTTCCCCACTGGCTTAAAATTTCGTTTACAGCAAAACTAAATGACTTAGTGAAAGAGCTCGATTAACCTGAACAACTGTGGTCCTTTTGTTCAAAGTGCTTTCTTTTTCAGTTACCTGTCTTTCCTCATGTAGCTATCAGTTAAAGCGTCACAGTTTGGAGATACAAGCCATCTAAATGTAGCAGGGTGAAATTCCTGTGCATTAGGTTTCTGCATAAAACTGAGTAAGCAGATACTGGTTTTGAAGCTAGGTACCTGATTCAATAGGGGAACTCTGGGCGTTGTTACTAATTCAGAGCCTGCCAGAAAGCTTTGAATGAACCATATCTTTTTCTGAGGTCAAATATTTTGATAGTACTATTTAAAATGGTACAATGTAATATAAATTGCATAATTTAAAATCCAGTGCAAGTCTGTGAGGAATATGTGCCTAAGTGCTTCTTAAACTTGCGTTATTTGCTCCAATAAGTTTTCTTTGTCATGTACAGCGATCCTCTTGTCTTGTTTCCATAATTCCATCTAAAGCAGTTGGAAAGGATGAAAGAAAATTTTAACGCTACTGATAACACTATGCAGAAACTGTGCAAAAATGGATGGAAAAAATTCATCAGGGAGCAAAGATACTATACTAACTTTAATCTTGGGCATGTA